TAACAAACATTTTTTGGCAAAGGCTCGCGTTTTTTTTTATTTAGGCTTTTTCTAAAAAACTCTGTATGATTAATAGTTAATAACTTTCTTAGTTTGTCATCGTAACTAAAAATTGTACAAGGCATATATTTTGTTTATCTTTATTTATTTAAACGTGCCAACAACAATGGATAACGCAGTACAATTCTCGTTCATCAGAAACGAGTTCCATCAACAGTTACATTAGTATAATATTATTACATGAAGAAATTGTAATTTACATTTGGCACGGATAATATAAAAATAGCGAGAAATAGCAGGTTGCACAAAAATGCATTATGTTTTAATAAGGAATTAATTAAAAAGTTTTCAGACCAATTTAATTCGTTAAAAAAAAAATTTGAAATGTTCCCACGCGTTACGGCTAGATAACGGCTAAACCTATGTCTTTTATTTATTTTTAAAAATTTCCACTTATTAGCATCTTGTTATGGTCACTATAAAATTAAGACTGATCTATAATAAGCTAGTTAATTAATGTAGATAAGATTTTACTTTATACATTTTTTTTTTTTTTACTATAATTATTAAAAATTAATGTAAAACTAAAGAATTGTTTTAATTAAATTGCAATTATTCGGTATATTTTTAGCCACCAGGAAAGCCGCTGTCTATTGTGTGCGATCGAACGCGTTACGAAAATAGGTTTCACTCCGTAACATTGAAGAAAACCGATTACACTTCACAAGAACACAATATTTTTCTTTATCTAAAAAACAAATCCCATACACACATTATTGTTTATGCGTTTTTCAATGAAATGCATGTGGTTTTGCTGCGCTGTTCACATGTACACACACAAACAATATTGTATTATCCGAAACCGTTAACAAGTTCATCATTTCCACACTCCAATACCGCATTCGGCCGGTCGTGCATAATGCAATTCAATGATATTTTCATTAACTCTAATAAATGGTTTTTTTTTTTTTGGCAATACAGACTGGTCCAAAAGGTGCATAGTAATTATTGGCTGCAACGACAGCGGACAAGTTTTTATTAAATTTCAAACACGTCCTGAATCCTGATACAAGCCGAAATTGTAAGGGGGAGGGGTTATAGACAAGGAAATAACACAAGATTTTGTTTAAATTATTTTGATAAAATTATTTTTTTATATTCAACGCGGAACCTGACGGGAAATGTTTGTCGTGGTTTCACACAATGATGTTTATTTACTTTTGTCCTACTTTTGTGCCTGGACCCAACTTATAAAAAAATTGAGTTCTCTGAGTACCCGAATATGGTACTCAAAGCGTTTACTGTAAAGATCAATAGATATATACTTAATAGTTATTGGGTCTAACGGTCAAATTTCTAACCACCGGGCCGATTTTTTCGTGCAACAAATACCTGGACCGGAAGTCGTACCCATAAGTTAATGAATGAGGTCAAAAATTAATAAAGTTTACCACTTTCTTGTCAAAATCAAGAAAAACCGCCAAAAAAGGTACCTACTTATTTAGTAAACGAATATTGATTATGATAAAAAATAATTTTTTTCTAAATTATTGAAAATGACAAAAACTTGAAATTTACAATTTTTAATTTGTCAATAAAATAAAATAATTTTTTTTACAAATTTTAAATATCAGACGTTTGTTTATTATGCATTTATTTTAATTATCCTTTTTACAATACCACACGTGAATAACAATAATATCTACATTTTAATTCCTGTTTTTTATTGTTATTTTCGATGATAATAAGTTCACATAATAATATTATAAGAAGTATTAATTAATATCATCTGTATAACTAAACAAATATGTTTATTATTCAAAAATAACAATTTAAATACAAATTACGCTGTGGTAAATACTAGTTTAGGTCTGACCATCAAATAATTCAATTGTATTACCATAATCTAACTTTTAATTAATTTGAATAATAATTATTCGCCCCTCCCATAAAAAATAAAATAAAAATAGTAACGCGATTGGTATGATCTCTTGGAAAATGATGATCCATTAAAAGTGTAATATAATTGTAAAATTTGTGACCAGTTAAATTGCTATAAAGAATTTACTACATAATTGTTTTTATTTAAAAACTTAATGCGCATAAACGCAATTTACATTTCTTATGAATATTGTATTCTATACATGAACTGTTAATTTATTTATACATTCAAATTAGATTACCATGTGTGTTATGCAAGAGCAATTGCTAAGACATAGTCCCACCTGAGGCAACGCCTATTAATATCAACTGATTTTGAAGTCTTCCTCAGAAATACTAGTAGATAACATTTACCTAATAAATGAATGTCGTTAATGCAAAAAAAATCATTAGGTTAGCTTTAGGGTAAAGCTCATATCAGAAGCTATAACAGAATGTGAAATTAAGGGGATTGCATGCGGTCGGTTTTTTCAGTCAAAACACATAATTTTTATTCCATTGCACAGACTGAACCAGTGGTCCGATAAACAATCTAAAAACAGATTTGGATTCGACATGAAGTTTACTTATGAACGGTCGGGGTAATTTTTTTAATTTTTAATATTAACCCTTTCCAAATTTGATTTTAAAATCTGAAATTGTATATAATATTCAAATGTGTTTTATACATAGTAGGAATAAGATATCAAAAAAGTACCCTGACCGATCATATAAGTAAACTCCATGACGAATTCAAATCCATTTTTAGATTACTTATCCGGATCACTGGTTCAGCCTGTGCGATGGACAAAAAATGTACTATTATATTAACTAAAATGGCTTTTACTCATAGACAAAATGATTTAAATTAAAAACAATACCACGAAGCTTATATAAATTAACTGGTAAATTAATTGACATGATCGAAATTTATTAAAACCACTTTTTTTCTTAAATATTGCCTACACAAAACTCCTTAAAAACCAACCGCGTGCAATCCCCTTAATAAATAATAAACTGAATTCCAACTGTTCTTGTCATTATCCAATTATTGCCCACATTAGAGCAATACCTATAGTCTAGGCAAATGCCTAAAACAAATGTAATTTTTTTTTAGTAAGCCATTAAAACTATTCGAATAAAACGGACTATGATTTTTTTAAGTATTTGAGAATGTGTTTTGCCAACATAATAATGCCAATTTTTAACCTTGTGGGTGAAGGAAATTAGCAAAACATTAACAGCCTTCTACTTTTCTCGGACACCTATTATTTTATGTTTTTAAATTATAATCGCATACTATTTATGTAATGCGAAGTCCAAACTTTGGTAAAATATTGATACTTATTTAAACGAACAAGTATTTATTTTTTATCAAATGTGGACAAATCATTCTTAGAAGCATCCTATCGTTTAATAGTGAACTACGTTTTTAATATTAATGGTTGTATTTTTTGTTTATTGTAACACTTTCCGCTTTTTTAGAAAGTTACAAAAACCAGTTTTTTGTTTTGGAGATTAAACATTATAAAAACGTTTTTCTAGTTTCATCTCATGATTTACCTAATTCATACCATTTGTATATATACAAATATAAATTCTCTTGGTCTGTCCAAGTGATTCTGAATTACGAACCCGTTTTAGTCAATTTAATTAAAATTAACTAAAATCAAACAAACATAATATGATTATTGTTATTAATGAATTACTATTATTTATTAGAGTTATTATTCTATTTTTAAATATATTTTAACACATTTTTCGGTTTTATTGTTACAATTATTTTGGTTTTAAATATCGTTTTCGCATAATTTCGCTAACGTATTTTGTTTGTACGTTTTTGTATTTTTTTTACGTTGTTTCAATAGAGTGAAGTGGAATAACTGCAACTTAACAAGGCAAGAGCAACTGTTAAATTTTCCAAAGTACTCAAATATATAATTTTAATTCGATGATTTAACCACCTTTTATTGCAAAATATTGTACAAGTTCAATGAAAAATAAAAAATGATTGCTTCTATGTAAAATTTTACAGTTGCACTTGCTCCATTTAATTTCAAATAATCCGACTTAACCCTAACGTTTTCAATCTCTGGGTTGGACGACGTTGGAACAAAAATCAATTTTCTATACTTTGTCACTCCAAAGTAGGTTCCTTCTCATAGTCAACATACTTGATAAGCTTCTGACTGATCTAAGCAAGTGCCTTTCAAATTGTTGTTGTCGGATAAAACGGAAAGGCTGTTTTAGCGACAAAAGCTGTACTGCTGAGAAAATTGTAAACGACAAAATAATAAGATATGTGAAATTTCAATCACTTTTGGTACATTTAATCCGTAAACGTTACCAAGCCAATATTTACATTAATCGTGATAACTTCATCAAAGCCCGACGTCGATTAAAATGATAAATAGTATAATATTCTGATGCTCAACTGATTTTGAACTTTCAAAATACAATTATGTATGACATATTTTGACACAATATAAAATGGTTATAAAGCTTGACACGCAAGTTCAAAATAGCGGTCAAGCTATCGGAATATCGTATATCATACTAGTAAGTAGTAATCATTTTAATCTACATACTTTGTTGTATAATTGTTAATTCTATAAATACTTTTGTTAAACCTAACGATTAATGTAAACTTTGGCTCGGTAACGTTTTCATCCCTGGATACATTTTTCACGTTCAAATTCAATATTATCTAAATTGTATACGCGCAAGTGCCGCAGGTCGTGGTAACAACGTTTAGGAGAACCCAAGGGGATATACTCAACGATGGTTTTATAGGAGCATCGTTGAGTAGGCGCGACGCGCGTCTCGCCACGGATGGTCCGGCACGGACATTATCGCGGCCGCGGCGACGTTAGCGTAAGTACGTTTTGCGTTGTACGGCCGATTGGAAAACAACAAACACAACAACTGATAACAGTCAGCCGGATGATTTATTATTATTTTTATTACCTGTTTTTTTTTAACGCATCAGGACGACGGTAATTAAACCGTAATGGTCATAATAATATTAGCATAAGTACGTATATAGGCTGGAAATTATTATTATTATTTTCAAAACTTACCGATCGTTAATTTGTATTTTCGGCAACCAACCGGTTTGGAAAACACGTCTTCGTCCCGTAAATCTTACGTCCGTCAGCAGCTACGACCGACCGAAAAAGCCGCACGTTTCGCATCAACAGGTGTTCTACGGAGGCGGCGGCGGCGGCGACGATGAGGAGGTGCCCGCGAACAAAACGTTATCACTACAATACACACACACACACACACACACACACTCCACCGGCGCGCGTTTGATCGTATCAGGTGACGGACGACAACGGAGTTTCCCGACCGCGGCGACGGAAAGGGTAGCGTGCGTGGGCGGCCGCGACAACGACGGTTCGAAATATTAAAACCGGTGATTTTTGTATGTTTATTGTAGTTAAAAAAAAAAAAGAAGAGATGTAATTAGCGACCGACGGCGTCCGCTTTGGGACGAAAAAAAGGGAACGTGAAAAAAATCCAATAATAATAATAATCCAAACAATATCCCGCAGCTGTACCGTGATGATAATAATAATAACAATAATATTTTAATATTTTTTTTTTAATTCCGGACTGACAACGGGCGTACGGTGTGCGCGCGCGCGCAAACGACCCAACCACAACTGGTTACGCGAGTGATGTCACGATGACATCATGTCCGTGGTGTGTGTGTGTGTGAACGCTTAACCTTAACCAGGCCGCGGGCCGGTGACCTTGAACGACGACTACGGAACGCGTTTGACTGGCACCGGAACGGCACCTCGGCTACCTAAGGAGAGATTGAATTTGAAATAAAAAAATAATAATAATAATAAAAACATTTTGAACACACACACAATAACCGACCGACGACTCGGAGACGCGCGGTCGTCGATTCGGCAACAGCTCCTCTCCTCCTCCTCCTCCTCCTCCTCCGCCGCCGTTTGTTGGTTTCCCTTTCCCCTAAGCTCTCAGCCCCACCGCTCGTCGTTCGCGATCTTCTCTTTTCGGGATTTTCCCCACCGATCAAACCGTTTGCTTTCGATTCGTGTTAAAATATTTTGTCGATTTTCAATGAAAATCGCATTCAAAAAATCCAGAACCCGCGCTAATTGCCTTATCGCCGCTGGCGTCAAGCTGGCAACATGGATAATATTTATTATTTACAGTTGGCAACGCGGAAGTGTTATCACATTTCGGTGAAAACAATCATCGCCGGCCGCTCGCTGCTGATAAAAAATATTCAGTAATCACTATAATCAGTCGAACGATCTAACCGTGTTAGAAAATAGTGCTTTCGGATTTACTAGGTTTTTTACAAAGTGATGCGTAAGTACGTAGCCAGACAACGAGCAGTGTCTTGGCCAAAAATAATACTAGCGTCGGCCGTAGGTGTTATCGCGGGTGTATACATTTGGAAGCCGTTTTTCGAATCGCTCGATCCCGCAAAACAGTCTAATACCAAACCTAAGGTAAACTGGTTGTTTTTTACTACACATTTTAGCGGGCTGTATGAAGCCAGCACAAAAGTATTATTGTAAACATTAAATCGGTCTTTCCCATGTAGACGGCCAAAGCAGCCATACCGGCAAACACAGCCAGCACGCGCTAAAAATACCGTGTTTCCAAGTTACATCATGACTTGCTAGTACAATGAGTAATACTTTTCATAGCCTACACGTTGTGTTACATCCCAATTTACTTGCCGAGTGGCGTGTACTGTTGGATCGATTTGACAGTAGACGATTGTCAGAAAATTTGTGCTAAAATCCTATATCGGTGATTTAAAATAGAAACGTTTATCGAAGATTGTTGTGTTCTGTTAATTAGAAAAATGTTCTCTGTTAATCAAACCTCATATACAAAGTAGTCTCATGATTAGATTTTTTAATGCTGTTCAGTAGACTTTCAGTAATCTGGCAGATATCAGACCCGGTTACTGCCGGATTAACAAAAACGCCGGATTAGTGAAGGTTCATTAAAAAAACCAATTTTAATAGCAAAACCAATGTTTATTGTACAAAGTTGTATTACGAAATATATAACTGTAATATACATACATACATATGTACTGTATTAATCATTTAAGGGACAGGTCTAAAAAAAGTATCAACTTTGGTTGCCTTTGCGCACAAAATTTTATTACACTACATATTACGTATGTTATTAGTTTGTATGTACGTTATTTTACGCATTTTTAAATTAAGACTAATATTTTGCATTTTTATTTCTAGAAAGAATGAAACCAGTCAAACCAGCTATTCGGCCTGGCGGACCGTTAGCCACAAACTTCAATAGATTAATGGCTATGCTCGGCCTGAGTTGGTTCGGCTATGTGTTAGTAGTACGATATGTGATCAAACCATTCAACAAAAAACAACGGTACAAGGAGGCCGAAATTTTTGCAAACCAGCTTTATGAAGATGAGAAAAGAGCAAAACAACACGAGCAGAATGAATTTGATTAATATGTGTTTTTAGCATTTATGAGATGATATTGTTACTTTTTTTTTTATACTTTATTACACATTTGTAAAATAGTAAATTTACTAGAGATAATAAATAATACATAAGTTGAAGTATTTAAATATGATACTTTAATATTGTGGAATTCAAATTATTTAACAACTATAAATTAATCATATAAAAAGGTGTACGGTGTCTAGTAAATTGAACAATATATTTTTAATAACATTGGTATTATTTTAATAATAATTCACAGCTATATATAAATATATATTTGTTGATTGAATTGTACACAAACAACACAGTAATCTAAATTATACTGTGCTTAGATGAACATCAACATTGTACATTCTAGATAGTCAAAATTAGTAGAATTTAATGTATAAATTAATTGGGAAAATAAAATATTAAATATTTATTGTTAATTTAAAATATTTTTAGTTATGTAATATAATATAAAAAGTAATGGTGTGCTAAATAATGTATGTATTTTTTTTGGGGGGGGGGGAAAGCAAAGCCACCGCAGATTATTATTTAACATTAAATGTTGCCCCCCTCCCAAAAAAAAAATTGTTTAGCTTCAGCCTGGCCCACTTAATGCAAAAGTTCTGGCGCCGCCACTAATAGAATATAATTGAAAAAATATCATTATTTTATAAAACCTAAACTATTTAGAGTTAGGCAAAATTTAATTAATTAATAATTAACATTTAAAAAATAAAGCCAAATTACATATTAATTAAATAATAAAAAGATTATATTTTATTTTAATAATTTTTAAATAATATTTATTATTCAAAATAATATATTTAAATAATTAAATTATAAGAAAATCATTGCTTATTTTTTTTTTTATAATAATATAGTTAACCAATTTAACACAGTGAAATTTTAAAACTACAAATAAGTGATAACATTATTCAAGTAAAGTGGCCAGTTGATAAGATCAAATTTATTTTATTTACTAACAGGTAAACTGTGTCGTAAAGGCAACTCGCAAAGCGAGCAGTCCGCTTATATTTTTTTCAAATAAAGTTGTTTATATATAAAAAACGGATAGGTACATCCGTTTTTTTTTTAATAATTTACAAAATATATGTATAAAATATGTAATTTGCGCACGTTAAGATCATTGACCTCGAGCTAACACAATGATTTACATTATGATACAAATATCACTATACCTATTAGTGCAATTACCTGTAAGTATAATGATAACATAGATATAACAATTCTATAATATGTTTATATTAGGTATATTTCTCATGAGTATATATGGTAAATATTTGATAGGTACTTAACAACATTAATTATTCTGCTGAGCAAAAACCTTAAAAGTTATTCGCTGTGTCCAAAATTACTCACTCAAGTTGAGAGTATATTTTAATTAACTAAAACTAACCTCCGTAACGCATTAATTATGTTCAAAGCAATAATTAATTAATTATTTTGACATCATAAAGCGAATACAATATTTACTCAGTCTTTCGCGCCTTAATTTGACTAAATTATACATTATATTAACCATACATTTTTTATCATAAATTAATTAGATAAATACTATTATAGGGTTAAATATGGTAATTAAAAAAAAAACAAGGCGAATGTAAACAACGGACAATTTGTTTTTGTTATTAAACAGACACACATATAAAAAATATGTGTGTTTATAATCATATATATATATATATATGATTTTTCTATAACAAAGAAATTCCATTTGCCTTCTAAATTTACATTTGTCATTTACCCCACTCAATTATATTATTAACAATTTGTTTTTGTTATTAAACAGACACACATATAAAAAATATGTGTGTTTATAATCATATATATATATATATATATGATTTTTCTATAACAAAGAAATTCCATTTGCCTTCTAAATTTACATTTGTCATTTACCCCACTCAATTATATTATTAACAATTTGTTTTTGTTATTAAACAGACACACATATAAAAAATATGTGTGTTTATAATCATATATATATGATTTTTCTATAACAAAGAAATTCCATTTGCCTTCTAAATTTACATTTGTCATTTACCCCACTCAATTATATTATTTATCAAAAACGTAAAAGTTAATCATTCATACCAAGTTCACAATATGTGTATCAAAGTTATAATAAAACAATTAAAATTTAAATAAACTTAATCTATTAACTTATGTTAACTCGGTAAAAAGCATCCAAACTTGATTACCTACTTGACAAATATAAAATAACATTTAAATAATTATATTAATATTTTTTAAAATGTTATTTGTTTTACTAAATATAAACAATTTCAGATTCGATTGAAAAAACCCTGCTGTGTGATTGAAAAATTTTGAAAATTTTAAAATTCGGTTACAATTAAAAGATATTTGAAATCATTAAAACTCGATTATTATGCAAGTGTCTTCTTTTTTATCGGTATTTTTTCTGTATTTGTTCAAACCATACCTAATTATAAATTTTGAGAAATATAAATTTGCATTTTCGAAATAATATGGTTCGCTGAAGGAGACAATTTAATATAATCAACTTTACGAAACAAGTTTTACGGTCTAAGTCTAAATGATTTTCTTGTTGCACCCTGATCGGTTTTGTATATCTGTCTAACGCTAAAAAAACACTCATTCGAACATCATATTATTATAAACAAATTTAGGTTAAGTTTTTCGCCTTAAAACGGGCAACTCAACCAGCACTCTTAATACGATCACTACTTATAACCGAAATCAGAATCTTTCCATTTTCTTTTATATTTACGATTTATTTAATAAAATGTTTAAATTGAAAACAACAACAAAAAAAAAACAGAAACTTGTACAAGAAAAAAACCGAGGTTAGTTTGACTTGTTGCACAAATTCGCAACACTTAAGTGTTCAGATTTAGTTGTTCTTGTTCACAAAACCTTAGTAAGTTGTCTTATTTATATTTCGTGTTGGTTACTCTCAAAAATTAAGGATTTTGCTTTGGTTTTATTTGTGTTGTAAATGTTGTGATAATAGATTATTTTTTATTTTTCACCGAAGTCGCACAGTTGTTCATCGCAGTCGTGGTGGAAAAAACAATTGTGTAAAAGAGGAAATCAACGTTTTTTTTTCCTTCATATTTTCTTTCAAACTACGATGTCACTTACAGCTGATGGTCGTCTATCATATAAAATCACTGTGCACTGCACCGTGAAAATCGCTGTATTGGACAAGAACACCACAAGAAGTTAGAAGTCTAAAACAAGACAAAAAAAATGTCTTTGCCCCTCCCGCCGCCGTGTGTTCAATATAATATATTATATATCAGTGGCGAATTTTGAACAAAATTTTTGGGGGGGGGGGGTGTTACTTATGTTAGTAAATATTTATAATATAACATTTTATATAATTATAAATTAAAGACTTTTACAGACTTTACTCACAATATTTGATTATATAGGTATTCTTTATATTCAACGGTTTTTTGTTTTATAACAAAACTAAAGTAAATTAAATGATTAATTCAAGGTAATTTTTTTATTTAGTTTTTGCAATATATCGTCGGTCTCTACGATTACGGTTTTTGCTAATGGCTATCGGTGCCGACTGTCGAGGCCAATTATATAATTTAAACAAATATATTTTTGAAAGTTTTAACGTAAAATTATTTTAAACCTATAGAATGCCTTTGGGCTTATATTTGTTAAATAAGTGGTTTTATTATAAGAAAAAAAGTGTTTATTTGTTGTGTATTTAATACAAATTTGTGGTGTATAATACATTTTTTTTTAGCCAGGGGGGTGTTCAGACACCGTGGATACCCCCCCCCCCCCAAAAAAAAAGACGCCCTGGTGCTAATAATATGCAACAGTCGTTTTCCTCTCCTGGCCGGTGCACACAAATTATAGATACATTTTGTTTTTTCTGTACACGAAACATTACTATAAACCATTATTTTTACATAATGACCTAACCGGCTTTTGGTTCGAATTTTTCTAAATACTGTCCAATCGACCTGAACGCCTGTAACGAATAGGTATCTGCATTGTGGTTTCGTGTTCGGTGAATCGGGACCCCACGAAGGTTACATTCTTTTGCCTTTATGTATATATTGTACAGTGATCATCGCAAGACTTAAATAATATGCACTTGAGCGCACTATGGTGGTAGATGCGTCGGTTACGGGCCGATACAACATTACACGGTGCCTCCGTTTGATGTAAGAAATAATAATAGCTGTATCACTTTTTTGTATAAAAACACCTAATAAACGGCTATCAAAGTGTATTCCGGTGACAATTTACGATTTCATAGTCATACATTATTGATTATTTATTTATTGTTGTATAAAGAAAAAACAATGCGAATTAGATACATCATCTAGTGTAGCCAACGGGGTACACATGTCTCCGAGGTCGATATCCCTAAAAATTCCTGTACAGGAACGACAATATAATTCCTCAAGGATATCGGTGATCGTCCTGAATGTTTCCTGGTCGCGAGCACTCTTGTTTTAGAGAAGTCTACAGTGCATCTGGGCATTTCAAATTTTTAAACGAATTTCAAAATTATAAGTATACCTATATTATTAGAAATTACTATAAAATAATAAACTTAATTACCATTGACAAATTTCGGCTGTAAGTAATTCATAGACAATAATTTAAAAAACTGCCAACATATACATAAAGCAAATATATTGAATGATAAAATAACCCTAAAATCAATAATCACAAATGGGTTATGGGTAGCACTATAAAAACAGGCCCATATAAGTGAGCCGTCAGGTTTCAATATTGGTTTTGATTTTTAATTATCAAAACCGCGTTAATATTTTATTTTATACAATTATCCTCAACAATAATTATTATAATTTTGATATTATATTAGTTTCAAGTTACAACCAACACTCAATGTGGATTTTGTAACAATGATTTATTATCATAAATTATTCGAAAGTTATTCGCGTTTAATTGAATTGCAAGTAACTTAAACTTATTAAAAAAAAAAGTCGTGGATTTATGCGAATACTGACTATATTATTTCGTAAATATACATTTTAAAAATCCATGATTAAAATAATGATGTCTTATAGTTTATGGTTTTTTTTTTTCTAAGCCACCAGGACAAGATAGCATACTGTTACAGTTTACCATAGAAAAAAATTAACTATTTTGATAGTTAATTTTTTTTTCAACTCTTGTAACGCATTTTTAACACAGTTAATGCCTTGAACAATTAATAAAGAATTTAAATATTTTTTTCAAAACTTAAATCAGAGTTTTCTTTAGGAATAGTACGCAAGTGTAGAGGCCACTTTTAAAAAATATTATAAAAATAATATTCTGTTTTGGGCGTAACCAAAGAGTTTGTAAACATATACCATGGTATCTTATCAGTTATTATTAATTGTAACATGCTGTTTTGTTTATCTCGCGACAGCCCGCAGCCGACAACTATATTATAGTCGTAAGTACTAAGTTGTGTTTGAATTTGTCGTGGTTTCCAACAAGAGCGTTTCGTTAAATCATTCCATAATTAATTTCTAGTGTTGATATTATAATATTAAAAAGAACAAATAAAATAGTGATGCGTTTTGCATATTTGAAATATAATCTCATTTAGAAAAAACTTCACCGGCTCAATAATGTCCGCAAGAAGTCAAGTAAACGGGATGAACTCAATGGAGGTAAATAAAAGACAATTCATACAATTTTATTATAATATACTTAATCAGTTTCATAACGATACTAATGCGTTTTTAAAAAAAAATTTTCAAAGGAGGTTCAAAGACATTCTGTTCATACGTTGGTGTTCCGTTCCCTGAAAAGGACTCACGACATGTTTTTGTCTTGTCAAGGAATGTTGCCACCAATCGACGAAGAAGCGTTAGTATCATTTTACCGTTTTAAATATTTTAACTATTGTTATACACTATACTTTTTTATTGTATAACAACGCCTAAGTACATACTGTTAAGCGTGATTATTAAATGTATTACTTAAAACAGTGTCATTTAATCAATTTTCGTTTTATATATAGTTCGTTTACCGATGTCCACATGCCAAAATAGATACAAGCTGTGCTTTAATATTCAAAACTTTTTTTTGTTACCATGAGTTTTGTTTTTTATTAAGTAAAAAAAATAACAATGATTATTTCATCAGCACAATTTTGACACACTTAAAACATTTTGCCTTTTATTCATAATTCATATTATATGTTAATAAACTGTGTTCAAGCATGGATTTTTTTATATATAATTATACAACATTTATAAAAGCCCTAAAAAGTTTGAATTTAATGGGTCAGTTAGTTTTTGAAAAATTTTACTATTATGTAAAAAATAAAATTTAAAAAGATATTTTCAATATTATTTTTTGATAATAAAAAATTTAATTTAATTAATTATAATTACTTTTATTTACAGAGAAAAAATTAAAAAGATGGTTAAAGCGCGGGATAGTTACGGCCTCGTCTTTGATAAAGTGGAACGTAACAAGATTAATATGAAGAAATCACAACCTAATCTGATAAAACACGATCACTTGGATTCACTTAAAGACAACATGCCCTTGGCCATAAGTAAGATGGTTTGATTAGTTAAATGTTTTAAATATATTTGTAAAGTTTTTTTTCTTTTGGGTTTTAGCCGACAACCCAGAAAAAATAAACAAAAACACCGAAACTAGTATGGTCTTGTCGAGTCCAAGTACCCAAAACATAGCCGCTGCCAATCGTCTTATGAACCATATAATGCCGAAACCCAAGTGGCATCCACCGTGGAAATTGTACAGAGTGATCTCTGGCCATTTGGGTTGGGTGCGCTGCATCGCCGTCGAGCCCGGTAACGAATGGTTTGCGACCGGAGCGGGCGATCGAGTTATCAAAGTAAAATTATTTAGACATCATTAGAGAGTTATTTCATCAATGTACTACGGTTTTAATTTCGTACTTAGATTTGGGATTTGGCAACCGGTAAATTGAAACTTTCGTTGACCGGACACGTCAGTACGGTCAGAGGTCTACAGGTTAGCCCTCGTCATCCGTACTTGTTCAGCTGTGGAGAAGACAAACAAGTCAAGTGTTGGGACTTGGAGTACAACAAAGTAGTGAGACATTATCACGGTCATTTGAGTGCTGTTTACAGTCTATCGCTTCATCCGACCATCGATGTATTGTTGACCGCCGGCCGTGATTCCACAGCTCGTGTATGGGACATGCGCACTAAGGCAAACGTCCATACGTTGACTGGTCATACAAACACTGTGGCTAGTGTTGTCACACAAGAATTCGAACCACAGGTTCATAGACCATTTTAACATGTATAATATGGTAAATTATTATTAATGAAATTTGAATTGTCTAACTCAGGTTTTGACTGGATCGCATGACTGCACGATTAGATTATGGGATTTGGCAGCTGGAAAGACGAAAGCGACTTTGACAAATCATAAAAAAAGCGTTCGGTCTCTTGTTTTACATCCTAAATTGTAAGCGTTAAATAAGCCATAGTGTTTGATTTGTCTCTAAGTTTTGTGTTGTGCTTAGATACATGTTTGCCAGTGCCAGTCCAGATAACATTAAGCAATGGACTTGTCCGGAGGGTAAGTTTGTTCAAAATCTCACTGGTCACAACGCCATCGTCAACTGTATGGCCGTCAATTCCGATGGTGTACTCATGTCTGGGGCAAACAATGGTACTATGTACGCTTGGGACTGGAGGACGGGTTATAACTTCCAGAGAATACAGGCTCCCGTTCAACCGGGTTCAATGGACAGCGAGGCCGGAGTTTTCGCAATGGCTTTCGATCACAGTGGTACCAGACTAATCACGGCCGACGGCGATAAGACCGTTAAACTATACAAAGAAGACGATACAGCCGTACGTGACCTTATTGACTACAATATTATTATAATATTCTTCACTAGCCACCAGTTAAATTGTTGTGCTACGATAGTACACTATAAACTTCACATAATAGTAAAATTGTTTTATTTTGTTGAATTTTATTTTTAATTAATCATCTTAAGAGGACGCCACATCGTCCATTTTTAAGGAGTAAAGTATAGGCAATTTTTCGAAAAATCTTTATTTAGAGTTTGAACTATAATGCATACTTATTAATATAGTAATGAGGCTACTTTGTTGATTGCTATTTTTTTTTTTGTCAGACTATCACAGTCATTTCTATAGGATAAATTACAATTTTTCCCCTTTAAAACTGCTCTGCGCGAATTAATTTTCCTCAGGCTTCATATATAGTTAAGGAAAGAAATTCATGCATATTATTTATGACAAAATTATCTGTGTTCCATCATCCGTATTTTTTCGATATACCTAATACAACTAACACTATATCATTATTAAAAGAGTCCTTTCTTAATTAGTTAATTAGTCATTAACTGGTTGAAATATTTATAAAAGGGCGATGGTAGAACTCAGACAATGTTGTCTATATTATGTAAAAATTTGGTAGTTTTGATTATAGCCTTTGTAAAATTAATCCGCGCAAGGCGGGTTTTTTGAAAAAAATAGGAAAAGGTGTGTGACGTCCTCTTAAAAGATATATATTTAATCAAATTTTAATAGCAAACTCTCTTATTCTGTCTTGCACAGTGTACTGTATATTTCAATATTTTTCCTACAAAAACTATTCAACTTGTTAATTTAAATTTTTTGTATAACTTATGTGTGGTATATTTTTTATATGTACAAAAAAAAACAGTCGAATTTAAATGTTTAAATTTACAACCCAAAATTTGAGACGTATTTGCTTTGGGTTTTTTTCTTGCCGAATTACAAACTAAGAGTAAAATTTGATTTATTAAATTTTGTTAAGAAAGTTTTTGAAATTAAAAGAATAATTCATAACTGTTAGGTAAAATAGTAAAACTCAAAGCTTTCCTTTATCTATAAATAGTTGAGATGTACTTTTATAACTTAATAGATTATCAAAGCAAAAAATATTATAATCTCAATTTTTTTTTTCAGACCGAAGAAAGCCATCCTATTAATTGGAAACCGGACATACTGCGGAGGAGAAAATATTAATTCAACTTATGTGTACATTTTTTTTTCCTTATATGTTATGATTATAATATTAAAGTAGACACAAGCTGACCGACAACAATAATATTTGTTAAATATTTACAGTATGTGCTATAATAATTTAATTATTGTAAAAAAGATCACAAATAATGATAACAGTTGTTGATAAGAGATAACGTTATCATAGTTTAGCGGTATCCGTATCACATGTTTTTTTTGAATAAACGATTTCTTATTTTATTTTTAAGTGTCAAATGTGTCGAATTCAAATATTATTACTACCTAATAAGACATAAGTATTTATTATTTAGATACTTATAGTTTTGTGAAATGATCCCGAAAAATATCAATGTCCTTTTACCGCAGACATTGTCCCGCAACCGCGTTATTTTAAAAGTTCCCGTCAGGACCAAAAAAACGCACTGGGTAAAACGACATGAATGTTTTAAAATCCAATAAAAAAATGTCTTTATATTGATTTTGTTTTGGTGTTTGTTAGTCTGTGTTGAAAAAGAAAATTTATCCTAAGGACAAGGCTTTGGAACATTTTGACGATTTTTATGGTTCAGTTTATGGTAAACGATGGAAATCGATGCGTTTGGCTATGTTGTCGCCTCACAAGTACATGGCCATCGTTAATAATTACGGCGAACCAGAGAAGACGGCCGAGAATTTAGAGGTAACTGCAGATTTAGCTTAATTTGGCCTTTGGCAAACGGTTATTATGCCGTTTTTTTTTTTAAGTGGATGGGAGCTATGAATATAAGAAAAATTGTTGAAATGCAAGCGACCAAGATTGAAAATCAGACTCGTTCGTTTACTACGAAAAAACACAAAGATAAAGATATCAAAGAACTCGATAGGAAACTCGAAGGACTCTTATTAAGCAATGAAACCGAAAAGTAGTATAACATAATTTAACAAAAAAAAAATAAAGATCTATTTAATCACATATTTGATTACTTACTATTATATCATTATAAGACAGGAACCATACGTAGAAAAACCGTCACTCCAGGATAGTCTTGCAGAAGCTGAATGCGACGAAAGCAGAATCATAGATCCTGAAAGCAACTCCAACTTGGGAGGACTTTATCAGTTTGTGCCAGCCACCGAACTTCACGGCAAAACAGATTGGATACCCGAGTCGCAACATTATCAATACTATCAAGAAGATTTAGACTTTCCATTAAATATAATCGAAGAAGACAAACCTCTGGTCATTCCATCTCATTTGCAAGTGTACACCTTCGATCGTGGAGACACCTCGCCGTTTCCGCATCCCAGAACTGGTATCACCAATGTCAGCAGTTAGTATACACTTATTCTATTGCACAACATAATATGAGTTGCCGACGGAGCTGAAATTATTTAATTTTCAGATTACTATTTAATGGACGGGGGTTCGATTGTGCCAGTATTGGCGTTGGATTTAAAAGTGGGCGACCGAGTATTGGACATGTGTTCGGCTCCCGGCGGAAAAGCATTGGTTATGTTGCAGACTTTACTACCAGGTAAATTATCTGTACCTAAAAGATATATATATATATATATTTACTACTTAACTGTGGATCGACGTAAGGTGTTTTTAAAACGTCTGCGATTACACACATTTAATTTTTGTACAATACAGTTTTCTTTTTAATTTCAGATTCGTTGGTTTGTAATGATGTTCAAGAATCAAGGCTCAACAAATTGCACAGGGTAATGTCAGAGTACATTTACGACTACAAGACTTGGGGTGATCGATTAGTGATTACGCAAAATAACGCACGAGAAATAGACGAACCCGGAGTGTACAACAAAGTAAATAAAAAATACCATTATCTATTATTGTTTTGTATTATAACTAATTATTACTAACGTTCGAGTTTTAAACATAACTTTTCTGAATTTTGAACAGATATTAGTAGATGTTCCTTGTACAAACGATCGTCACAATTTAGAAGTTAACGAAAACAATATTTTCAAGCCTACTCGCGCCAAAGAACGACTTCAACTACCAGAAATACAAGCATCTATTTTATGGTAACATTTAATAATAATATATGTACAAATATATATATATATATATATATATACTAATCAACAGGACTGGGATTATTTTCTTGCAGTTAAAACTATGTAAAACCGACCAATTGTTAAAATATCAAATACATTTTAAAAAGATATTTCAAAATTTAATTGTTGAGGTGAATAATTCATTAAATAAAAGCAATAATAAAAAATTAAAGAAATATGTGAATATTCTTACAAAAACAAACATTTTTTAATTTTTACATATTTTTATCTAATAAAATGTGTTTGTTTTTAGTAGAATAAAGCAAAAATGTTAAAATTTGTTGAACTAATGTGAACTAACGTGTTAGTCTTCATTAAATGTGTTAGAGTATGTAAGGAGCAATTAATATTGATAGAAATTAATTTTTTTTTAATATTCAAAGTAATTTGCTGGTAGTTTAAATTAGAAATAATATATTAACCACAAATATATTTGAAAAATATAAAACTAAAAGAATAAATCGTAAAAATTCATCACAATTTTCAGTTGTAATAAACAAAATATAAATTGTTTTCTTCTTATAATAACAGTATACTCTGGTCACAATAAGAGCGAACCTCAGCGGCTACCTTAAAACTAGTTTTTCACGTGGCTTTCAGATAGGTGCCAAGGTTTATTCTTATTGTGAACACAGTGTAAAATAATCTATCTGATCTATGTATTTAATTTTTTACTGAGTACTTTTAAAACTTTTTAATGACTGAGTAGTATAATGATTATGTTTTATTAATGATGAATTGTTTGCTTATATTATCTGTGTTCATATAATTGAGGTAAACTATTTTACTCCGCACTAACTGTACCAAAAGAAGTATTCGGCTATTCAAGCCATTTATTTATTCAGCCATCTAAATAAATTGAAAAAATATCTGCTTGACTTTACATAAATTAAACGGTACATTCAAAAAACCTAATTATTTTTTACATTGTTCAAATTGTTATACTCAAAACAGTCAAACTTGACATCCTAAGTTTAATCTTAAAAACTGTTTTTGCTTAACTTCACACTCTTTTTTTTTCACTAATTTCGCTTGCGATGAATTTAATAAACTAATTTAGTTAACACATAATAAAATGTGGTATTGTTTACAGTTAGCTTTATTTATTAATTATTCACTAATAAAAGAACTAAAAAATTAACTTAAGAAAGTGTGATCGAGGGTTAAGTACCTAAAATTAAAAAAAGCAATAATTTGTAAAAGAAGAATGGTTACAAATTTGACACTTAATTAGATATACTAAAAGAAAAAGGAAATTTTAATTTAATGTTAAAATTAATATTTTGTTCGGTCTTTAGTAACGCGTTGAAAAACGTAGCTGTTGGCGGCACTGTGGTTTATTCTACTTGTTCGTTGTCTCCAATACAAAATGACGGTGTCGTTAAAATGGCCATGAAGAAAATCTGGGAAGAAACAAACTATCAAATCGTGGTGAAGTATGTTGTCATAAATATATTGGTTACTCTACTTTATTGAACTTTGTTCACTTTTAGTATAGCCCTACATTTTAATGTTTGCTTTCAGGGACTTGAAAAAGCAATTTGAACCGTTGCACTCGTTGTATTCTTTCGGAAAAGGTTTGAGGTTGGGACAACTGGTGGTTCCATTTCTACCTCTTAACTACGGACCTTTGTATTGTTGCAAACTAGTCAAAGTAAAATAATTCACATACTTTAACGTTGACAACTCGATACTGAAATATTTCTACAGTGTGTTCAACAATTTTTAGGTCATAATTACTGAATTTATTGTTGTTTATAATTATTGTTTCTTTTTTATTAAGCAAAGTTCATAGAAATTGTTTTATTTTCTGTGTTTTTTGTTTGTCTTCGTTGACTTTGAGGATGACTTCCATATGTCTGACGACTGAAGTGATCCAAAGACGTTTGTTTGAATAATTGATAAAAGTTATTTTTAACAATATATGTGTACGGTAGGCGTAATACCATACTGGTGTGCTTAAACACGTGAGTCCTATTTGGAATCTGTTCAGTGTGACTTTTGTTTTACGACTGGTTTTTTGGTTAGTTCTTAGGTCGTTCACGGTATGTTGATTTCGGAGGAGACTCATTTTTCATAAATCGCAAAAATAATTAAATGAATAGTAGTGCTTTTTTTTCAAAAAAATTATCCTGATATATGTATGGTGGATTGTGTTTTTTTAAGTAATTTTTTACCATAACATTTTTCTGAAATTGTTTAAAAATGAGTTATACTAATATTTTTTCAGCTAAATTTAACATAGCCTAAGAATCATTATAATATGACTTTTTTTATTTACTCATAAAACAAATTAAAAATCACAGTTACAATTGTGTTAAACATAAGTTAATAAATAAATTAATACAAAATTCATATAATCGCAACTACTATTTATAGGCGGATGTAACTTTTATTGATTTTCGCTACTTACAGACTAAAATCAAATTCGACTTTTTAAACATTTTTATTTTATTTTGTTGCATTTGTGTTTTGAAACATTAAAACCACTTTTAAGTTTTAGAACTACAACTGTGGCAATAATAATAGTTGAAACTGGGAAAATATCATTGAAGAAAAATTGAAGCTATAAATTATGTTATTTTAACTTTGGTGCGAGATTTTTAAATAGCAACAAACTATAATCCAGATAAACAATTTAATAATAATATAAAAATGTTTAATACGCTTCAAAGCGTTTTTTAGAGTAATTCTATCAAACCTCGGTTATAATAAAATCATATTTCTGAAGACCGATCACACTGTGCTGGTTAATTTTTATTGTAAAAGTCATTAGGTAATATAATATAAATGTTCATACAATGAACAAAATTTGTGTCAACGTCATTTAACAAATTTAAGCATATTATGCTATATCTGTATGTTATCAAATAAAGTGTACTTTATTTATCAACAAGAATTTTTCAATAAAGGATAAAAATCACTTTTGAGTATTAGTAATGGTATTAGTAAATATCTGATTTGCATTGAGCGAAACAATTGTTTTTTATTCGGTTGAAAAACCAGCAAATGGGAACAAATTTTCAGAAAAAGGCAACCAATACCTTCTCAACTTTGCACCAAAAATAATAAATAATAAACTTAATTTGCTAACTTATTTAAATACAATTTCATATAAATAATTTTAATTTTTAATCGAGTGAAAACACAGATCACAGTATAAAACTAACATCAATCGCGTTTTAGTGTTATAATTTATTATTAGTAATTGCATAAATACTTGTTTAAAATCGTTAATACGTTTTTTTTAATATTAGCTATGTTTTAATGCGACACGTTCCAGTTTAATACAATTCCCGCCGTTTCCAGGTACCAAAATACAATAATATGTATAATATATATTATATATAAATAAATAAATATAAATATTAGTATTCTCGAGAAACATATTTTTTTGTGTAATTCAAAATTAGTTCCAAACCAATATCGTGTTTTTGCGCCGAACGGGCGTTGGTTTCTTTTGTTGAAAATAACGCTGATGATAAGATTATTATTATTATTATTATTATTGTTGTTATCAACAATAGGTTTCGGTATGTCGTGTGTGTGAGTGTGTGTGCGCGCTGTGTCTACACTTGTTCGTAACACGAGCCAGGATAATCGAGCAATGAGATTCAAACTGGATATTGTGCCACTCAACAGTGCCACTCGGTTATTGGAAAATTATTCTACTCCTCTAGGTGACAGAATTGCACATGTGCCCCGAACCATGACGGTGGCCGAGGTGAGAGCAACGGTTTTGTTATTGCTATCGGTTTAGACTCCACAGAGTGTGTGTGTGCGTGCGCGTTTGTGTGCATATTTTGGTTTTGAGACAACAGGCATCGGACCATGTCGGAAAAGCCATTGGCTTGCCACCAGACCCGATTCCACCAGTACCACGGCTACAACCTGAGCTTGCACGAACACAACACCGTCGCTCACCGCGAGATGAGCTTCGCCAACGCCATCGTGTTCAGCGAACGATCGCTGTCCCCGGGCGAGGTGTTCCTCATCGAAATCGAGAGCTCCGAGAACGGCTGGTCCGGCCACATCCGACTCGGGCTCACCCAACTCGACCCGGACGTGCTGCAGCACAGCGGCTACCTGTTGCCCCAGTGCGCCATACCCGACATGGTGGCCAACAAGTCGCTGGGCGAGTCGTGGGTGTGTGCGCTCACCAAACACCAGGCGTGGTACGAGGGCAAACACAAGACCCAGTACTTCAGGCTGGACGGCAATCACATATACACGTCCCGCGGTACTTTTCCGACGAGCATCCTGCGGTCGTCGAGCGAAAACAAAACCGAAAAACTACCCACGGACGTGGGCAGTCGCGTCGGCGTACTTTATTTGCCGTGCGGCAACAACATGGCCATCATGCATTTCATCATCAACGGTGAATTTGTCGTACCGTTTTCCAGGGTCATACCGTACAACGATTGTCCCATCCGGGCGGTGATAGATGTGTACGGTGCGACCAAAAGAGTGCGCATTGTTCAAGTTTACAACGGTAAGTGTTGCTTTGACAAACGGCCTGATGATGTTAGCTCTCACAAGTATTCTCACATTAATAGATTTGTTTTTTTTTTCAGTTAATTCACTACAAAGTGCGTGCAGAGAATCCATTCTGAAAAATATCGAAGCTTCATCGATTTCCCAATTACCATTACCCAACGCTTTAAAAGAGTATCTCCTATATAAGACTTAATTGTTATTATCATTATTATATTTTATTAGTCATTAGCTCCCAATTTTTATTTATATAATAAGATATTTTTTTATTTTACCTTTCCTTCAACTTCATATAACAGTAATAACATTTTGAAAATGTATTTGATCAAATACTATTTATTTATAATTTTGTGTTATTTTAATGTTTAATTTGAAAATTAGCGGATAAAGTTGCCATTTGTCAGTATTAGTTATTGTAATAATAAAACATACAATAACTTTTTATTTTGTACCAATACTTTTATGAAAATATGTATACTCTGTGGGACTAACTTTTTAAAATATTTATTAAAAATGAGGAAAAAAAATTAATTTATTTTGGTTAAAGGAAATAAAAATCAAATCCCACATCATTGGCCACAATACAATTTTACATTCCTTAAAAGTATTTTAGGACCACAAACTTTTTTTTTTAGAGTAACATAAAAAAACACAGACGTCTTAAAAATATGAGGACAAAAAAATTACGTTATGTAGCACATATATATTTTGTTGTCAAAATTACTTTTAATTCTATTTGAACATAAGATAAAAAGGTACTTAAATATATTGTATTGTAAGTATAATAATTTGTATTAATAATAATAATACTAATTAAAACTAGAAAATTACATAAAATATTAATTGATGCAATTATTAAAAATACATAATAATATAATAAAAAAAAAATACTATCTTAAAATTCACACGTGATATTATATTAAATGGAATGGGCATAAAAACTAATTAATATATTATATGTATATAGAAACTACATAATAATACCACCTTAAAAAATTAGACAGCATAAAACACAAAGAATAGTATTTAGTTATAGAAACAATTGAATGCGTCGGTCGGTTCAGTTAAACCGATGCAGGTTGTATTGGCACTATTATTATTTGCAATTGTAGTAAGTTTAAACGTTATAGTTTTTAATGGGAGCAAGTTTGAAAACCATAATGAGCTCAACAACAATGTAGAGATACGATGGTGAATCTCAAAATCGTTTATGAAGGTAGATAATACGCAGTCTTATTTGAAAATGACTGACACTTTAGATCAATCACATAGTCATAACTATTTTGTAATGTGGAAAAATGGCATGTAAACGTTAATCGTTTGACATTTTTTTTTTTTTTAATATCAAATCTAAGAATCGTATTCTGATTTGATGCACGGTTGCGTCAAATCAATTTTGACGTTTGAGCCACTCGATATTTCCTTGGTAATTTGTACGGGTCTGGTGGATTGGTTATAAATACGTCGTTGCAATAAAGACTTGTGAGATGTTGTTTGAGTGTGATGCGACGACCTCGCGCCGATATCGAGATGACTCTTAGACACGTTTGGTAGTTCCATGCCTTTTTTTAATGGCAAATTGACAATTTTTCGTTGACTCTGCAAAATGTTGTAAGGTCGATAACGCACTCGTCCGTCGTTTGTCAATTTGTTTTCGCATTTTCCCAGACCTATGTTGAGAATTAACAAAAAATGTATCTTTGCTTAACACGTAATTGAATATATAACAAAATTTTGTTTTAACAATATTACTCGATTGAAAAGTTGGAGTGGTTTGAAGTCTTGGGCCGGCACTGTATCTCGGTTGGGCCAAACCAGAGTTTGTCTTTGCTCGGTCCAAAGGCACGGCTATGGGCAAATGATATTTTCTAATCAACGGTTTGCTATTCGGTTCAATGTCGTCTTCATCGTCGTCGTCATCATCGTCATCGTCGTGTATTTTAATTTCTCCTTCGCCTGTTAAACATTTTTTTTTATTTAACAAATAAATAATTGTTGGCATATAATTAAGTTTAATGACTCACTTAAATCCGAATCGCTCACTATTTGTTGTTTAGTCATATGATTATTTATTGGTTTTATCGATACAACTTTTTGATCGTTTTTGGAACCCATCGAGGTAGAAATATACTCGTACTCGTTACTATTATCATCCTAAATTAGAAAAATGCAATTAGATTGGATAGTATTAACAAATTATTTTAAAATCAAATATGCACATCATCGTCTACTCTGTGTTTCATAAGTAGTCGAAATTCTTCATCCGATATTGTGTTGTTGGCTTTCATTTTGGAAGGAGACATTTGTTTTTGTTGCATGGAATGGTTAACTATGTGGTTGTCTTCTTTTATCTCGTTATCCGGGGACACACGCGAAAGACGGTTACCTGCCCTTCTGTTAAGTTGCTAAAAAAAAATATATATATACTTGTTAGATGATTAACAAGCATTGATGAGATATGTATTTATATCGACGGTCACAACATAGGACGTAACTCAATTTTCACAAGATTTCTGTATACCAATTACATACATTTTCAGAGTTAAATAATATGTTATTTTTCAAATAGTTTTTTTATGCTTTTATAAAACTTTCATGGAGGAGTCAGAGAATTACAAACACTATTAAAGTTACGTCTTTCTATATCAGCAATGTTGTCGTATTAAAAAAAAAAAAAAAAATACAAGTCATTACTTCAATAATATTAACATTTGTCAATGATTCATGAGGCTCGCTGTATTCTGTATACTTAAGCAGTACTTGGTCCATATCTGTGCTGGCGTACTGGTACAACCTATTGGCTTTGTTAAATATAATGATGGCCACTTCGCAATCGCACAAAACGCTCAGTTCGTACGCTTTTTTCATAACTCCAAATTTCCGTTTGTTGAACGTCACCTACATCGGACAAGAGAGAGACGGTTTGCATTAGAAATATTGACATTGAATAAATAAAATTGTCAATGGTCAGCGTAGGTGTACTTACGTGACGGTTTCGGTCGTCGGTGATTTTAGATATTTTGATTTTCTTCCGCCCCATGATCGTGTATGAAATCAGTTGAATATGTAGTCAGAATAGGTTTATTATTCGAAAAAATTCACTAATAATCGTAGACCGGTACGACGTATCTACTAAAAAAAATATATAATTAACAATTAAAATGCGTTAATAATAAAACAATATACAACTAAAATTTTGCAATTAACTGATAAGAGATGAAAAAAAACAATGAAAATCTATTCGGAACTTATTATCTGACTTAAATGTACAAGATAAAAAACTAATTTTAATAAAATCTTTTACATCGGTCGGGTGATAAGTTGAAAAAAACGAACGTTTAAAATAAGCTCAGGAAAGTACCTGTGTATGAAAATAACTTCTTTTGACGTTTAAAATTAGAACTTCCGTTTATATAGAATGTGTACTATTCGACGAGCGCCGAGCGTGTGTTTATTTTAATAATATAATATAAAGGTTATCCCGTGCATGTCATTTCGTAGTCGTGCCAAAGACCATGTACAGTAAATACAATACTACCGTATTCGGTTGGGGTTCTTTGTTACCGCGACCACGGTAATGTCACGCGGTTGATGTTTTTGCGGTCAGATCGCGTTGTCAGGATTGATTCCAGTTTCTTCAATTTTGTATCGGCCGGCAGCGCGGCGTACGTGCTACGGCAGTAAATTAATTATTAATGACAGTAATAATTTCTTATAAATGATTATTGTTTTAATAGTTTGAAACAAAACGTTAAGTTTGTCGTCACGAGCGGTCGGACAGAAGCAACAACCAGCACAATAAGGAACACAAAAAGTGCATACAGATATTAAAAGAAATGTGTCTTTGATTTGGTATGACTTTAGTTGTATCGAATCAAATTTTAATTTTTAAGTTATCGCGTTAAAAAAAATATATTAAATTAAAGTGTTTACTTCTAACTCGAAAAATAAGTATGATATTCAATTTCGGATTGCACTATTTTTTTAGGCGTAAAAATATACGCATTTTCAAGAAAAAATCATAAAAAGTTCATTTTTACGAAGTTATAGCACTTTTTTTTTTTTAAAAAATGAAGTAAACTAAGTTTTTGCTTATAATTTCAAAAAAAGTCCGACCCCCCAAAGTGTGATTAAACCATCGTGTCAGCGTTAAAAAATACATTTATTCCCAAAAAATAAAAACTGCATTTATGCCAAATTCTATGAGGGGGAGGGGAACTTTTTCGTTTTTATTTTTTGGAAAAAAAAAAATTTGCTTGCTATTATTATATTTTAAGTTAGGTATTACATTTTAAAGCGACTCTCACAAACTCTCGACATTTCTAAATTCTAACTGTTTTGTTACTACTGCCTACTTGCTGTTTTTTTATAATCTTATAAGAACATTGTACTTATTCGGGTTTCTCATAGAAACCAAATGACAATGATTTTAGACGAATATCGCTTTATCTGGTATTAACTTATGTGTAAAACGTCTTTTAACTCTCCTAAGTTATAAAAAAAAACACCGTTTTGTAGTATTTTGAACGTGTTGATTAAATTATACATTTCAAATAGATTTCTATAAATGATTAAAACGTTGAATTGATCTCAAAAATAGCTACAGTAGAATGTCATTTTTGATTATTTTGAAGATAATTTGTAAATTTGTATTTAAACTTTAGAACCTAAAATCAAAGGTAATTACCCAAAACTGGTCATCGAGCAGTCAAAATGTTCAGAAAATTATTTTTAATTTAAAAAGTTAACTTTGACCAATCCCTATTTAGCATTGTTTCCAACAAAAAAATTTAATCTATGTTTCTTAATTTTTTTTTTCGAACTCTACACCCACTTCCTGTCGGTTCCTTAAAGTGTAAACATGTTATGTGTTATAAATAAATAAAAAGTAGTATAAAAAAAAATATATTCTTTTTTTTAATTAATGTGAATGTGTGATTTCCATTAACCTGTCGTTGTTAATAAAATACAAATATCAAGAGTAAGAGTTTCTTTGCGTTCTCGGTATTTTAGTTTAAATCAAAAATGTAACTCCAAAATTAGTTAATGTGTCTATGGTGATAATAATACTATAATACCATTACATTTTATACTTGATGGAACGCCTTTATTTTGGCTTCTGGTGAATCTTTTTAAAAATTCACTATGTAGGTAGGTATGTGTTTGTGTAGAATGTAAAAGGAGAAAAACACGATTGTCGCCGAACAATTGTGTTCACAAAGGCACTGTTGTTCTCCACACAACTCACATTTATATTTTAGTAGATATTATGTGTATATATTTGTCCTGGCCTCTCCATTATCAACACAGACCTGCACGTACCGTCTGGGGGGCCGTACATAATTTGTATAATAACTTCTTTATTCTTGCCCGTGGACAAGCATAACTGCCAAATTAGACCGTGTCGATGATATCCTCCCTGCTGTGTATTTTGTGTACTTCGCCCCACACATAACATGGGTGAGTATGTCTATTATATAAACACATATCTGTATATCACTATTCAAGTTGAACAGGTGAATTCTTTTCGTCCATTAAACAGCGGTGTGTTTGTACAATGTGTTCAGATAGATCCTAACATAAGTCATGCACAGTAAGAAACTTTCACGTTTAATAGATGGATTTCTATACCTACCCTCTCTTTAATTTTCTAAAAAAAACCCAACTAAATTCATAACGAAAAAAAAAACATACACCGCAAAAAAATGTGTTTAGAACAATAAATATGACCTGATAATGGACCCGAGACCAAACTTGGTTTTCTAGTTATCTATTATTTTTAATGGGTACCACTATACTTTATACTTTTGCATACATGTAGATGTATAGATATGTTATGCACAAACAAAAAATTGGATTTTTTTTTCTCCTCTTAAGAAAATATTCTTTATGTTATAAAAGAAGTCTACCAAAATTTAAAGTCGAATACATTTTAACCTACGCGGCAACGTCGCTAAAAACGCTTAAATATAATATTTTATTTTAAGACTTCTTTGTCAATAACACGATTTGTCTTCTGTATACTATATAGAACCAGAATTTTGATTCGTTTCATAGAACTTCTGGTTTTAAAACTAAATTTTACGAAATCATATCATAAATGATTTCATACATGGAACCCATGTCAAAAATGTACCCCACGAAAAAATCTTTTAGGAATGACCCGATTGAGTTCATACCAAACAAGTTTATGTACTGTTATTAGTGTATTTATTATTAATTTTTCTTGTAATCCATTTATATAGAATTTTATTTATCCCAACATTGTAATGTATTTTTGACACTTTTTTTTATGGGTGTGTTTTATGTTTACCCTAAATGATCCGTTAGTTACACAGAGATATTGTTAGCATAACTAATGTCTCTGTACACAGGTATCGGACAATCTGTACTTCAAAGGGTTTGTTCGTAAAAACAATTAACATTTAAAACAAAAAGATATACTCGTATACTCGTATACTCGTATCTCTCATTTTCATTTTTCTTTGTACCTATTTTTTTTTTTTTTAGTCAACAAACTCAGACTAGGTGTCAAGTTAAATACAGAGAATACATAAGTTTAAGGTAAATATAGGGATATATAATATTACCTAACCGTTACAAGGTTTAAGAATGAATATTTAGACAAAAAAAATCATTCCGACACGAACCATAATATTTTCAGAATTTTTAAAACCGTGATTTAACGGTAGTCGAAGTTGCTAAAATCGTTTCAGTGTAGTTCTATTTGTGATTTTTCTTTTGTTTATTTCAATTTTTCAGAAGAGCTGGGCTTGGGAAATAAATTGAAAGCTTTTTAATTTATTTAATAGGTACACTTATAAGTTATAAATACATCTAATGTTTGTATTAAACCGTACTCGTTATTAGTATCAGATAACATTAGAATTTTTCTACGATAACAGTTTGTATATTACTGTATACAAGTTGTCTGTTGCATATCGGATAAGCTATTATTTGTTAACCTACTCGTGCATATTTTCAGAGTACTTTCAAATGTGTAGTTTTTCACGAATAAGAGAAAACGGTAAAATCAATCGATTGGTTTAATAGAAAAAAAGGACAAGATACAACCATGTTTTTATTTAACTAATGAATTTATAGATGTTGATCCAACGATTATAATTTTTTATATACCTTTTACTGCGACTGCCTACATTGCGTTATAACTTATAAGTAATTAATATTAATTTAATTTATCTGTTTTGATTGACCATTTGACTATGTTATCTTAATTGATTTCGTGCCGAAAAAAACAACATCGGCATTCAAATAAGACGTATTAAATCATTTCCGAGTGATCTATCATCTAGGGAAAGTGCGGATGTGCATTCATTTGAACTGGTCTTGTTTGGTATTATAAAAAGCGCCAAAAAAAAAAAAAAGCAAGTACAATTTATTATATTTGATGAATGACGAATGACGAATAATTAATTTTAACATTCCTTCTAGTATTTTTTTTGATGCTAAGTTTGTCAAAATGCTAAACTTAACACCAAATACAGAATAGAAGTCCTAAAATGGATTATAAATGCATTCTTGCATTCATGAGTTTTGAAATTATTTATTTGATTAACCATTTAAAGTTGGCTGAACGAGCCGTTAGCTCGATATTTCAATGTATATTAATATTGTTAAATTACAAATAGAATTTTAGAACATTTTTAAAAATAATTTAAATTTTATTGGAGTAGGTATTAGACTTTTTTAAATAATTCTCTTTCATACTTTTTAGTGGCTCAAATTTAATATATTTTTCAACAATATATTCTCATCCCTTATATGTTAAAACCATATGAACTTCAGAAAGGTAACGTATATGATTATTATCTTAACTTTTTATATTAAGAATAATTTTCTAAAAATGTTGAATGGTCAAAAACCAGTTGCGAGTAATTGCTATTAAAGTTATTTAAATGTAAAATTTAAGACAGGGTGAAGTGCGCAGAAAAAAATAATACTACACACCACCACCTTCCTTATGTATAACCTTTGTAGAACTGGTTATCAACTAGTCGCAATTTGTAGAAAGTTATACCTAATGTGAAATGTTAATAAAATATATACGTTACCATTTTTAAAGCTTGAGTTCATAAGGTTAAAACACACAAGGGATGGGGTTATATTTTTGGAAAATATATCAAAATTAGCCACACTTAATAGTGATCCCAACTATTTAAATATAAAAAAGGATAATTTCGAAAAGTCAAATATTTTCTAAGATATGGACTGTATTGGTTATTAAACATTATACGCTAATTGCACGTGTGCATAATTTATATAATATACATTTTTTTTTTTTTGGACAAATAAAAAATATATTTAAACGTTTTACATTTGTGAAGCGTTCGCGTGCGTCGGCGGTGATGGTCCGGGAGATAGATATAGGTGTGTAGAGTGTATATAATATAAATATATATAATATCTTTAACGTGAACAGAACTCTGTTGCATGGAGGGGGGTTAAGGGGTTGTGAAAAAAACATCATGGGAGGGACTCGGCCGCCGGTTTCTAATTCAGTGTTCTTTCAGACGGTAACGCCTCCTCACGGACCATATAGTGAACGCTTGTACGGCGGCGCGCCGGTTTTGTTGTGTCGGTTTTTTTTTTTAATAATTTTTGTGCGGTTTTATCGCTCTTGTCGGACGGTTCTGTTGTATTTGTTTATATATTTAAATATATTGAAATATATATATATATTAAAAAAAAAATATATGTATACACGTGATTAAATGTTTATAAAATAAATAAATATGTATATATTTATTCGTATATATAATATATAATATATTTGTTAAAAAAAAACCCAAGTGATAGACATCGTTGTTCGTTTTTTCGGTTTGGTTTTTAAAAAACGGATCGCGATTATTTTGTTCGAAATTTTCATAAAAAAAAAGGAACAATAATAATAATATTATTATATCGAACCATGTACCGCGTCATGATGGAAAGCTCGCCGGGCTGTAATACCGGTGTGATTTAATCCAATACACGGTCCTGTCGGTTAGATATACATAATATTATATTATATTATTATGCTAGGTCGTTTCATTTAGACGTTAATAGTGTGCGTGTGTGTGTGTTTAATTGGTGGTCGTCAGACGATTAACAAAGGAAATGAACGTGTTTGGTTGTTGTTGTCGTTGGAAAACGGTTTTGATTTTGCTGTTGGTGATCGACGGCGTTACGCGGGCTTACGCTGGACATGCTTCCAGTTTAAAGTCGTAAGTGTTAAATATTTATTTTAAATTATAATTTTTTTTTTTGCCAAGATTGCCCTACCACGGCAGATCCCGCCGAACCGTGCACTCGCCGGCAATGACTATTGTTTGTGGCGCTCTAGCCCGGAGGCTGGTAAAAAACAAAAAAAAACGCAATTGGATTTTCGACACTAGTCGGTCGTCGATTATTTATCGTAGGAGTCGATTTTTAATTTTAATAACAGTCCACCGTCTATTGAATGCAACGACATTTGCCGCCGGCGGCGAATACCGTTTTTTTTTGTCGAGAAGACCTTTTATTTATTAAATTTTTTTACCTGCTCGCCGACAAGCCGAATTCGAAGTGATTTTCTTGCAGCGGGCGATCGTTTATCCCGGGCAAAACGTTATCGCAAGGCCAATAATAAAGTTAAGTATACACTACAGTTGTATGGACTGCAGTCGAGTTAAAAATACCCTAATGGTGTTTCCGAAGCTTTTAATTGCGTGCCTTTGCCGGTTATCTATCCATATTATTACAGCGACGGCAATCCAAATCACAGCGGTATTGTGATAAGTCCTCGTATGGTATACATTAGGTGTACGAATATATTTCGTAAGACGTGAGACTTGTCTTGGAATGAATACAATTTCAGCAATGCGTTTATTTAGTTGAAAATCATATGCGCGACTAGACCTACATTTTAGGGGGTGCTAAAATTATGTATACCTGACAAAACATAATTCTTATCTTCAAACCATTATTTATAAAATAAAATATTTTAGAACAAAAAGATTCTAAAATCAACAATTTTACCAGAGTATGTAGGTACATTATTAAAATGTTATGCGCATACAAATCAACAATTGGGGTTACAATTTATGGGGGTGCTAATTTTGAGTCTGAGAGTGCTTAAGTCCCCCTAGCATCCCTAGCACTAATTTTATTTTATAAAATATACAATATGTAAATTAAATGTGCGATTGTATTATACAACGAAAATGCATAGATTTCTATAACAGCTAAAAGAAATAGCCCGGCGTTGACATAAAAAGTGTTAAGAAAAAAAATATTAAGTAAGATTATTAGCCTAGACAATTTTTTTTCAACTATTGCAATTTAATTTTGCACACTTAACGATAAAATTTCATCTAGAAATTTCCAAAGACTACATGAAATTTTAGATAAGTCGTCTAGACCGCATTTATTAATATAACTATAGGGGTGGACCGTTACTAGAACCGATATTAGTGATATTGGTTTTTTTTGGAAACTGATATTTGGACCGATACCAAAAAAATAATAATCAATGGTAGGTAATATATAAAATCGGTTTTATCGGTTGATGGTTTTTGTAAAAAAAATGGAATTTTTAATATATCGGGTATCGGTTTTATATCAGCAACATATGTATATCGGAAAATCGGGAAAAAGTGGTATCGGCCCATTCCTAAATTTAATAACTATTATAATATTTTAAAAAACAAAAAGTTTCACGTGTAGACAATTTTGATTCTTGCCTTAATAAATAAATAAAATTCTTAATATCACAAACATATATTCAAATTAGTGATAACTGATAACAATACAATTAGAATGTTACTTAGGGTTGTCGTAAAGAAGTCGCTAAGAAGTTAAATTTAAGTGCAATTTTTTTTTAAAGAAATATTTGACTCATTAAATATTCTTCATTGTATGTATAAAAAGTTGAAAGTGGTAAAATCACATTTAAATGATTTTGAAAAAATTATGCAGGTTTGTTTGAACTTATGGTCTTAAAAAGTTCTGTGTATAATACGTAAAAAATCAGTAGCGGTTAAAAAGCTTAAGACACGGACAAATGATACTTTTTTAAAGGCCAATTTGTTCCGCATCCGGCATTAAGGCTAAAAATGTATTTTATGTACTTTTTCATTCTGATATATTGCAATCAAGCTTATTTTTATCAATTTCATTTTTAATTGTAGTTTATTATGAAAACAGAATATATTGTTACTTTTATTTTTTTTAAATTCATAATCTTAATTGAATGATAGACTGAAATTATTTTTTGTTTGTATCTTATATAATAATCAACGGAATAAAATTCGGGAAACAATAATGTAGAAAAACAAATTAGTGCGTTGTAGGATTGTAAAAAAAGGAGTTTTTAAAAATATTGTAAACTCGTGAAAAGTTTGGAATGAACCAATTAATTTTCAAACAATATTTTTTGGTTTTTATTTATAAATTAATTATTCAAACGGTTGAATAGTTTGTTGTGTCAACAAATGATTTCGTTTTACTTTTTTATACTTTTACCTTGATATTCGGCATTTGGAAACCTGTCGGCATTTGGAATATTAGCTGATGATAATTTAATTCTTGAAATAAATTGCTTCGCGAAATTACCATAAATCAATATTTTAATGGATTTTATTTACACTATTCAGTATACAGGCTATGTGTGACGTGCGTAGAACGTAAGCAAATCAAATGACCAGTCGTTAGAAATTACTTATTCTATAATACAATATACTAATAATACATATTTTTATAGTAGTATAATAATAATATAATCTGAATGCGGCTTTATGTGTGTACGCATGTGTGTGTGCGCTTGTATCTCATCTAAAATCAATTAAAATACCGAGGTCCGGCTTAAAGTCTCAAACCGCTCGTCCAGATCGAGTTTTCTTCGTGGAAACATATTAATGGACATAATTGTTGTCTATCGGCCAAGAATCGCAGGTCTTACACAAACGGCATATGTCAGGCTTTGTCTAACTGACGGGCGATTGTATTAAGCAAATTCGAAATTCCTAATTAAATTATTCATTCCGTTTATTGACAACATGTTTTTTTACTTGCCAAAAGCAATTCCGGCTTAGCAATAATCAGTTTGAATGTGTAAACTTTAGAAGATGTTAAAAGTATGAATACTGCTAGTTTTTTTAGATTCTTTATAATATGTGTTTGTCCCTATACGTAAAACAGAATCAACTGTTTTTATTAAATCCATTTCTAACTAAAGCTAAACTATTCGAATTCAACCTTAAATACAAATACATCGTGCGTATGTATAGTACACATTTATAAAAACTACTCAACTTTTGATTAGTTGAGTAGTGCGCGCGAAAAAAACATTCTAACTATAGGTTAAACCACCCATAAATTTTAGTGATGAGAATCAAGAGTACAAGTGACAAGTATTTGTCCATTAAACATTAGTTAGCTAACACTTTTTTATATTTGTGTATGTTTTATAATTCTCGATTAATTTGTGAAAAAGATATTGGGAAAAACTATTAAATATTGACCATTGTCTATAATATATTTGAACGCATTAAAATCTTCAAAAACTTAAATTCAATACTTACTCATCCAACAAGGGGGGGAGCGGTAAGAGATAATATTGTATTTTACTATTATTTTGCATTTATTTTTGTTCAGTCGTATAGCCACATATTATACTGACTTAAAATACGATGTTAACTTTCAAGCATTATAATTTCATCACACGCATCACGCAGTTGTATAAATAAAAATTAATTTCGGATATTATAATATTTTAGTTGTTGGACATTTTGTCCGATTACCATCATGTTGTTATGGAAAATAATTACACCTAGCAATGCACACAACGCCCTGCGCAGAGAAAATTTTTACGGTTTGATGACTAGCGCACTGGAGTATAATTTTTTTGTCTAGTTTTTCGTTGAGTGCGTGGAATAATGCGTTTATAAACTATAGGTAGGTACCGCATGTATCTGGCAGGATATGCGATGGCGTTTAAAATCTTTTGAAATGATTTCTCAAATCTCTATACACCGACCCGGACCCCTTTATAAAAAATGTCTATGAAACCGTAAAAAAAGGTGTACCTACCGTGTAATAATTCTTTTCGAACGAATCAAAACGTCATCAATCAACTAACTTCTTATACCGGGTGTGCGAGATGGCCCGTCTGGTCCTCAAATGCATGTTAAATTATCATCGAAATTCAAGCGCTTGTAATACCTGACTATGATTACCCGAAATTACACATAATCATTCTGTCGGCAGGTTACCGTGTAACACATGACAGCCTTATCTTGGAGTCCGCCACTCGGTGGTCTGTCTGAAACGTATTTAGCTTGCCTCAATTAATAACATTGTAGGCTATGCATTTTAGAAATAACGAATTAGTCACCACCATTTATAGAATCCCGGTAGCTGGTTCCTAATTTGACAATTATGTTTAATAGGCCTCCCATCTTTGGATTAGGAGAGGGGTGTTTTTTAAGTTTAATGTCGATTTATATGTTTTTTTAATAACTACTGGAACATAGTAAACAACGTTTTCTAATAAGCAAATTGATTATTTATTATGCTTTGTTATATTATATTTAACCTTTTAAACATCTTTAAAACAAATATTTTTACTATATTATTTTATGTACTTTATCATCTACAAAATACATGTTACTAACATAAAATTATTAAAATAGAGTTTTAATAGTTTTTGTGTGCCAACTATCTGAAAATAAAGTAAATCACGACCATAGTCACAAATCACAAAAACGTATTGACACTATTACCAATACACGGTCCATTGTAATCAGGTTTAATCAGACTTGTAACGGGTACTTATGAGAACCATTAAATCGACATAAAGATGAACTTATTTAGGTCTTATTCAGATCATATTTTCTAGTCAGAGTTACATTATATACTGTAATATGCTAAATTTACTGTTCAGACGCACCACTGTCGTAGTTAATACACCATGTAATTGCTAGAATAATAATGTAAATAACATTAATTTACAGAGGGGCACAAATAAAATTGATCTCATTCAAAGTGAATAGTATTATTGTTATAATAATAATTATTATTCGTTTTTTTAGTTTTACGTACGGTAGTCATGCTCTGTACAATATAATGTATAATAACACAACATGCGAACGGTTAGCCATTGAAATTGGCCGACGACTGAAAACCGGCATTACAATATATATATATGTATACATGTACATGTACGTATTATTAGTATTATTATTAT